TTGTTATGGTGTGAATGTTGTTATGATGAAAATGTAGTTAAGCCACGGTTATATTTATAAAAGATTCCCATTGAATCACTTAATAAATGTTAAATTACTCAGTGATTAATTTCTGTTAAACCCTTTTGCACACCTTATTTTTTGTGCCCATACCCTTTGTGCCCTTCCCTTTTTCATCCTCAGTCTCCAGGTAATTTCTTCTAAATTGTTACGAATCAAATTTTCCTATGAATGCCTCATCCTTGCAGTAAGTAAGAGAGTGAACCTTGCCACTGAACTCTGTTAAAGTTACACTTCCATAAGTTCATATTAAGCTCATACCTGCTTTTTACCAATACTCCTGATAGTGATGCTTTAAGCAGCCTTACTACTCGTTTGCAACAATACTGCATGAAATGTGGCATGCATTTTATAAAAATTACCTTCAAGCTGTCCACTTGCTGTGTTTATGGCATAGTATCATGTAATAAAATAATAAATAACATATCTAGAGCAATTTTCGCATAGGAGATGCACAAATCATGGGTCGTTTTCCTTTCACCACAATGATGGTCAGATTTCATTCAGTAGCATATAAAGAAAATATATTTAAATTTATATTCCTTCCACATGCTGACCCAGAGAGAGATTACCCTCCCTGTATGGCTCAGGATAATAAAAGGGATTATGGATACCCTAAGAAACATATTTTAAATTAATTACTGTATCCATCCCTGCTAGTTCTCTATCAGGTTTTCCAAATCTTGTCTTACAAACAGTTAAAGCAAGATGAAGATTCATCTGTTCATTCACACATGTGCATAACAAATTCCATACTCTTACACAGACAAATAGTGCATATAATAAAATTTTATCTAATGAAGTAAATCTCATCTCTTTAACTGAACTCACATGAAAAAATGCCAGTGGTCCCGATATATATGGCATTTTCATTCCCAGCAGATACTTCACTTGTGAAGTCACGACGTGTGTAGCTGCTCCTGTTGTCATGGCACTTATGACAGGTTCTGTTAACAAGAAAGTGGCACTGCCCAACTGCAGCATGAACATCACTACCTAAAAAGCAAAGGCAGGAGGATCAGCAGCTTCTTGGTGATAGGACAATGAGTCAGAGTCCTTTTAATAAGTTATAAGATAAATGAGCTAAAGATACAAAGCAAAAGTCCTTTGGAAGATAAATCTATCTGAAAATGGAACCCACTGAAGTTCTGTGGGTTTACCTGCACTATTTTACTCACTAGTTTACCAGACTCTAATACTAGTTTAGTAGCAAAAGCAGACTCAGAGAAACTCTAAATATTGTCTCCTGCTCAAATATGTAAGCACAATAAACACTATAAAAATATCAACTCAACACTGCAACAAGTATAGCAACTCAAAAATTGAGGCTGGTTCTGGGACTTATTCCTGTTCCACTGCTATGCAGCCTAAATGGGCCAAGAGCCATATCTTGGTCCAGCTTACTGATTGCCAAAATGTCATTATCAGGATTCTCAAAATTAGTAATTTCAACAGATACTAAATTTATGAGATGCTATAGAGACTCTTGTGGTGAGATCCCTAATCCAGAAATTTAAACTACAGCAGGATTGGCAACTATTGTAGGTATTGTTGTGTTCAACTCTTTTCTCCCCTTATCCTGTGCTTGGAACATTCTTTCTCTCCAAAGTATGAGATTTGATAACTCTTCATTCTTTGCACAAAGTTGCTACATGACTACAGCTGCTACTGTGGTTTACACAACACTTTGTGCTTTTCTGATCCACATTAAGTTACATAGATATTATCTCCCTTCACAATGAGTTTTGCCGTTTCTGACTTCTGAGGTCTTTTGCATTTGCTGCTCTTCTTCCTGAAAAGTTACATGCTCTTGGCACAGAGTTGTTTGTTACAATACCTTCTAAGAGGTTCATTTTGTGTTTACCATACTAAACATCATCATTTTGGAATATATCATAGTCTCCCTTGCTTTTTTGGGGGTTGGTTTTTTTAGGGTATTTTTTTTTTTCTGAAGCTAAAACTGTTATTTTCAGATGTTATCTTTCTTTATGCCTGAACACCATTCATGTTCTCACCATAAAGCTCACCTGTATGCAGAGAACTTTGGGCACAGTACCACAAAAGAAACAAAACCATCAAAATAAGTGGCTTTTAATTAACCACAAAACCTCTAGTGAGCAATATCCTCTTCCATTTGAGAGATTAAATCTGAGATTTTTCTTCTACTTCCCACTAATAGCATGTAAATTGCTCTTTACTATGAGCAATTGGAACATTGATTGCCATTCAAGATTGGACTCCAATAATGATAATTACTGTGTACCCTCAGTGAGTAGTAATTTAGTTAGTCAGGCCTAAAACTGATAATTACTAATTTCAGATATTTTGTTTAGCTGTTTGTTCTAACAGTGTGTCTACTACTATATTTAAAACATTTTTCACAGTAGCAAAGTTCAATAAGAATTCAATTCTCCCTTCCCTTGGGAATTTTTGTTTGTTTTCTAAAATTGGTTTCTATTGTCTGAATGTGAAATTTCTAACTGTGTAATAGCTTCGTTTCCAGGAAATTGGATGTTTATTTAGCCATGGAATCAAAACCACAGAGACAATTCTGTATATTACATAATATCACAGAGAAGTATTAGTTACTATTAGCATTTCAGAGAAAGTTATTATTGTGAGTTACAGCAAAAGGATTGCTGAGGTTAGAAATTTCAGCATCACTCTCAGGTCTACATTTTGGTATTTTACTTTTTTTTTTGTTTAATCTTCAGCATTTTAAGAGGATGCTTCACAGGTACTAACTAAAAGAACACATTTCAAACACAGTTTTTATTGATTGCATGGAATCATGGGCTATGAAAAATACATGCAAAGCATGGGTGTGGTTTCAGTTAGACAATTTCTGTAGCCACTCAACTGAACAAGCAACACTTGGTGCCCTCTCCTTCCTGCAGAAGGCAGCTCAGGACTTCCAGAGACAAAGGCAGTACTTCATGAGCATGAACATCCTACTCTTTATTTGCATGACAGAGAAATAAATATGATGTGCACCCATACAACTTCCATGGAGAGGATCTAAAAATGCAGCAACCAGAACAAGAAACGTTCTGGGTGGAGGGTGTAATTTTTAGCAAAAACTGATATGGGTACCTCATGTTGTCCCTGCAACATGAGTAATGGACAGAAACTGCTTGGATCGTGAGGAGGAAAAGGTTTTGAAACAAGCCTCCCAAATCTATCTGCATGTGAATTTTCCTGACAGATAAAATTATTATTAGCATTTACACAGGCCCAGATTGACTCTACAATTAACCCTCCATGCTGGGCAAGAGCCATTTAAGCTTGGCTGCCTCTGCATTTTGAATAAACACCATTTGAAACTTAGCTAAGCTGACAGCACTCAATTACATTACATTGCATTATGTCATAAAATCTTTCACCCAGCAACACTGACCAAAGTGTAGAAAGTTCAATATTCTTAAAGAAATGTCTAAAAATCTGCTTTATTTTGGCTATTGGTTCTGATGCTCATATTTGCAGGTCTTCCACTTTATTTTCTGGTATATTTTATGATTTATTTTTGTTCCTGATGCAAACAAACTACAGAGAAAAGTGCCACTAAAGTGCTGGAACAACAACAACAACAAAAAAAGCAAATATTTTTTCCTTTTATTATTTATAATAATGCTGAGATTTTCTTAACCTGTAAAAGAAAACAAAGTTTCACTTATTTTAGAATTGCATCCAGAATTCTTAATTTTTAAGAACTTAGTTCCTAGAGGATAAAAGCATATTTCAGGGAAAGAATATGCTCAATATAAAAGTGGTTTGAAAGGCACTTGGCTATTGATTATTTGTGTGGCACTTCCAGTACATAATATTTTGTTAAAAGGTCCCTTAAGAAGTAACTGTCTTGAGATGAATTTTGCTTTCACCAGGTATAAATTCTTGAATAAATTCATGTAAATAAAATAAAGACCTTTCAGAGAAAAGAAAAAGCAATATAAGATAAAGTGAGGGAAAGCAGCCTTGAGTTAATGCACAGTAAAGGAGAAAAGATCACAGAAAAAAGGTATGCAATGAAGTGATTAGACAGAAGTAGGGAAAGGTGTGATTCCCAAAAAAAATGGAAAAAATAAGTAAATTTCAAAATGGAAGAAAGACAATGCAAAGGGAACCTTTTTTGCAGCTGTCTTTACTGCTCCATAATTTTACTCTGACAAGTAGAAGATAATGGGAATTTAGCCAGGAGAAGAAAAATGAGCAATTGCAAAAAGCAAAGCCCTCTATGTTCATTATCCAGAACCTTTGGTTCTTGTCCACTTTCAATACTTTCTTCCCATGACAACATGCTCAGTCTGTTATTATTATTATTAAAATTCCATTCAACATGTAGTCAATTTAACTCCATGGCCAGTAAAAATTTTTATCACTTAACAGCTCTTTGGAAATCACTAATGTCGAACTTTCTGTCTTCCAACTTCCCAGAAACTGGAAGACTGACATGGTGTTGCCTGCTGCACAGATTCAGCTTTGGAGAGTGAATTTTAAACCACTCAGAACTCCTCTGTTCTGGAAGGGGCTTTCCAGTGTCACAGCAGGCAAATGGTGGGGCCCTTCCTGATCATTTGCTGCATGGGCTGGGTGGATGAGGCCGGAACTGGGAGCATCTCTTGGAGCACAGGCTGCGAGCCTCTCATTTAGTACGTTTTATTGATAATCTTAAAATCTAAGTTTGCAAAAGTGAAGACTTCTATGGACCCTCTGGAGACAACAGTCGGACACAGTTCAACTCAGCTGAGTTACCAATTTAAAATCTCCATGGCCTGTTTCAATAGACATCTGACTGGTAGACCACTAGCTTTTGGTTCTTTGAGTTGCAGCTCCTATGTTCATTCTGGGTGTCCTGAGAGTGTCTGGTAGTTTCTGATGGTGTGCACAGTGAACTTTCCTCATTCCAGGACCTGAAAAAGTCTTTTCTATGGTCTTTCTGTACTAACACATATGGTAGTATGTTCTACCATAACTGTGAGAAACAGAACTCCCTTTTGAAAACTTGTAATTTTCAAAATGCAGAATAAGAGCCTGCAATAAGGTATTTCCATTGTAAAAGGAAAATGAACTTTTTCCCTGATTATCACTGTATAATAGACTCGTGTTTTTACCTCATGCAGAGCTATCGGTGACAGAATATTGCAGCATCATTTTTCTCACAGGGTAATAGAGATTTGGACAAGAATATTGCCTTACAAAAATGCCCTTCTTATTCAAATGTGCTCGTTTTTTATTAACCAAATTGATAATAGACTGTGCAAATTTGTTCTCCTGAAAACCAGAAATATTTTTATATCCAACGCTGTATATCAGCAACTAATTACATGTTAGTTTTTAAAATACTGTAGATTAAAAACTTGCCAATAAAAATGTTACAAGACTGGAATGCAATAAGCAGCTGTTTCTCCTCTAGAGAAGAATAGCCCAACTGAAGTCTATAACACTGTGGTCTTAAGAGAATTCAGGGGTTTTTTTCCTAGGATATTTTTTCCTCAGTTTTATCTGCAAGGAGCTTTCCTCTATTTATTCAGGAAATCTTAATCTTGAATTTCATTTTAGTATGCTGAGATTATTTTAGAGACACATATATTTATGCAAGCATTCTTGCACATATATTAATAGGGAAAAAAAATCTTACCCAAAAGCACTTTTGAGGATTTTTTTAATGTTATAAAGGCAGCATCCAATTTTAATTACAAAATTACCCCATATATGTCTGCTATGTTCCATCATTTTCTCTCCCCATCAATGCCTCCAAGGTATTTGATATCAATGAAGATTTCTATTAGTTTGATTTGTTTTCTATGCCCTGTTTATTTTTATAGAGTAGCAGCTACACAAACATTAAAAAATTCATATGCCTTCCATTCTGCTTTTTAAAATGAAATAACGCATGCATTATATTGAATGGGTTTGGTAATTGAAGTTTTTATTTTATGTTTACTTATTTTCTATTTTAATCCTATTTTAACTTCATCAGAATGCCTCTTAATATAATTAAGTATTCTTTCTCTTTTATGAGCACTTCCTTAAACATTAGATTTCAGAAGTAGTTCAGGACTCTGAAATTTATTACTTTGAGAAAAACTTAAGCAGCTAAGCCCTAATTTGAATTGTGAAAATCTCTACCTATCCTTGTCTTATGATAAGAAAATAGTGCTAATTTATGTCTAGATGGTGCTGAAATTCACAGAGCCTGCTCAGAGTTTGCCTCACACGCAAATGCACAGTTGTGGTCTGCAATAAACACAAGCTAGCCAACAGCAGTTCATCTCAAAAACTGCTCCCCCTTCCCCCACCTTCCCTCCATTACTCACTATTTTTTATGTTTTCTCTCTTATTTTAACATTATTTTCTGATTGGATTACTTAGCCATGCTACTGGAAAAATAGCATCAAATTGCTTTTTAGGCCAAGGGTGTACAGCTCTTTACCTACTCTTTTCAAGAAGGAAACAGCTGTTTTGGCAAGGACTTTTCATCCTTTGTCTGGAAGATGCCCAAGGTAGGCATAAGTCAAAGCATCTGTTGTTTTTATGCAATTAGTGGCTGATTAGAGAACTGCATTTTGACTATTTCTCAGAAAAATAAAGTTTTATAGTAGATAACATAACCCAGGTCTGCTCCCTTCCCAAAGCAGCACCATCCCAGATATCAACTACACAGAAAATCCAACTTCTTTTTGTATTGCAGGATGTCTTCAATGAAGAGCTGTTGCCCCAAAATGCATTGTACTATTCATCTTGTCCCAGAACACACATTAATTTCAGGCTACTAGGTAATTTCTAATCTAATCTGATAAATAGAAGAAGGTGACTGATTCAGCTACCCATTAAGAGCAACATGTACCCTGTCACCTTATCTGGGGTTTGCAGCAACTCTTAGTTGGGAGACTGGAATCTTCATTAGAGACATAGATTCCCACACTTAACAGCACCTGGGAAGATGCCAAAGTTTGATCTCAGCCTTGATCAGGACTTTCACCTGCATATTGCAGTATTAGTATCTTCAAGGCACTTCTTTAGGAAATAAGTGTTTATAAGTGTTACTCTGGCCTCCAACCATTAAACTCACACAAAGGATGGGTGGCAGCATGACAAGCACCAGCTGTGTTATATAATTCTAATGCAAGTGACATTATTGACCTGGGAGAGGAGCCCATGCACATGGCACAGTTCCCTGCATCTGAAGATGCAGAGAGGATTTACCAGTTCTTCTCATTCCAGTCAGGATTAAAGAGGACATAGGCTGAGATAAATCAGCTGATGCAGTGGAAGGCATATGAAAAAGCAGAACTTTTCAGGATGAAGGAGTGTAAGAGGTCTAGAGGACTCACACACCTAACGTGATACTGCAGCCACCAAGCAAAACAATTTCTGCATTGGATTTTGAAGTTACATCAAATGAATGCAGGCACCAGCTTCCCACACAAGGCACTTTGGCCTCTCTGGGGATGATGCAGGAGCTTTCAAAGCTGTGGGCACAGGACTCCTGCATGAAGAGCTCCATTCATGCTCTGCTGTTGCACACACCCTGCGTTAGATGCAGTGCTGGGCTGCACATTGGGACAGCACGTGCAGGCACAGCCAGGCACAATCTGCATCAGCTCTGCTGTCTGTGCTGTCTGTAGGCTGTCCCTCATGCTCCAAAGTCATGATCCAATAAAAGAATTCTCATCATAAACCAATAAAAGAATTATAAGAACACACCAGAAATAACAATGCTTCTTGATATTTCCTACTGACTAACATGAGTACACGCCCCAGTTCCTGCCAAGCACGTAGGCTACTGAAGATCCCATTCTGGGCCCCTTTGCTCATCCTCTGCATGGGAGAGGGATCCAAAGCACCAGGTGGAGGGGTCAGGGTTTGTTTCAGGAGCCCAGCTACCTAGGAGGAGTTGCAATGTCACATGCTGGAACATTACTTCTCTTTTAATATTTACAAGGAAAGAGGGAAGCCTTCATTGAAAACCTAAGCAACTGGCAATGGATGAAGAAACTTGGCTCCTTTAGCCAGAATAGGAAAAAAGAAGAAATTTAAAAGACCTCTGATCATTTAAATAAACTTTGGAGAATCATTTGAAGACATCTGTTTTACTATTTCACTTTAATGATGGGTGTGTGAACTCTAAAGAGAATTTAAAACTTTCCCTACTGTTTTTAATTACTGGATATTGTATAGTATTGCTTTTCAAGCCAAGGGCAACTGAAAGCCACAGGAATATGTCAGTGCTTACCAGGAGCTGATTCATGTTTGTTTCTGAAGAAGGAAAAGAGACACCAACTCCAAGGGAGTATTATGGTAAAGCTGACTGAAGGTGATTTTGCTTCATATTGTAAAATACTGAGAGAATGTATACAGATAATTACTACATCTCAACAAAGGATTAGCAAATTCTTAAAGTGCATTAATTTCATCATTTGTGCCCATTGAAGTAGATGTTTTCATTAGTTTTCCTCAGAGAAGTATAAAAACTATTATAAATGTCATAGCTGTAACAAAGGCAGTACATCATTAGCATACAGAAAATGGGATCACCACCAACCTGAATGATTCCACCTAGAAATGAAACTGCTGCTGCAACTCCAATCCTCTGCATTTCAAATTCTGACAAACCCAAAATTCCTGAATTATTGTTTGCTGTGAAATTAGTTCTGACTGAAGGAACAAGACGCTCAACTGCATTGGCAGATATTAAGGAAGTTAAAGCAAAAGTTCCTGTAAAAAAAGCCACACATTAGTCACGAATAATTGTATATCTGTCTGTACTCATCACTCATGGTCTCTTTTTCAAAATGGCCATTATAAGTAAAAGCGCCATTTTTTACATTCCTGTCATCATAAGAACAATTTTAAGATATTTTTTTCTATGTAACACACATTTCTTCCCATAAAATACCATTTATACAGGCAAATTAAATGAAAATCCTTTTTTAAGAACATTTATTAAGACAGGTTTACAAAAGACATTCAAATACAACAATTTAAAATGATTTCAAGTTATCAGAAATGCTTTTAACTCACCCTGGATGTGATCAAGCAGCTATTTCTCTGAGAATCCCAAGTGTTCACTATTCAAATGTCTAGGGCAATTAATTCACACTATATATATAGTACCTAGCCCATTAAATAGTACCTAGCACTCTAATAAATGGAGGCAAATTGTGAGAAAAACATTTATTTGCTGAAAGAGATAAAGTGTATTTAATGACACAAAGATAAATGAGGGTGACAATTCAACATTAAAAGACACAAACATGCAGAGTTATTAGAGCACAGGAATATCTTGCTATGTCAGACCAATGGCCCATCTTGCCCAGTACTCTGCCTCCAGCTGTGATAGTCAGAGGTGTCACCTGGGGAATGCACACAAGCCTGGCCATTTTCTGTGGGCCATTGCTCTTATTGCCATCATCCATAGCTGTTGGGTTAGTGAAGTACTTCCTTAGCTGGCTTTTTTAAATTTTGTTTGTGGACTAGAATTCATGAATTTATCAAAGGTTGTCTGAACCTGCCTGTAATTTCTCCTTTTTCAGTGTTGTCTGAGAGCAGGTTTCAGAAGTTCAGCATCTGCTGTACTGTTTTCTTTAATCGATACTTTAAAAGTCTTCTAAAACAATTTCTCTCTGAACTCACTTTTTTTCTACTGCTGCAGGACCTGGTGTACACAGTCCTGCCCTCACCTTGGCCTTCACAGAGTAAACCTCACAGCATGAATTCCTCAGGAACCCACCAGGGATTCCACCACCCTGAAAAGTGACCATGAGGTCCAGCCTTTTGCTCCATATCTTTCAACCTGCTAATAATTAATAAAAGGACTTTTCTTCTATCACAAGGACAACTTAGTTTCTTTAGTAACCTTTGGTGTGGAGCCTTATCAGTAGCTGTTTGACCATTCTGATATCTTATATTCAAAGTATATCCTTTCTCCATGCGCTTGTTGACATTCATGCAGTAGTCTAGATGGTAGTGAGGTAGGATTTTCCTTTACAGCAGTCACATTAACTCCTCTCCAACAGGGTCTGATTACACATAGCTTTTTTTGCCCCATCCCTGGAAGTGTTCAAGGCCAGGTTGGATGGGGCTCTGAGCAACTTGACCTAGTGGAAGATGTCCCTGACCATGGCAGAGGGGTTAGAACTAGAAGACCTTTAAGATTCCTTTCAAACTTGGCCATTCTATTGTTGTAAGATGTTTGTATAAAATTAAATTTGTAAACACCTTATATGAAGTTCTATCTTAAATCAAAGATGTGTATGTGCTGTTTATGGCAGATAAAACTGTCTCAGAGAATGGTTCAAAATCAATTATGTTAACAAAAGTCACAAGCTGTATGTATTTGTTGCTCAGGTGAGAAATCTCTTAAGGTAGATCAGCCTTTTCAAAGAAGAGGCATTTCAAGTGAATAACAGTTAACTGAACAGGGCCATTTCTGATTTTCTATTTCATACTAACATGACTGCCTTCACTAACAAAGAACACTTTTACAGCCTGTGTACATATGGAGAGCATCTCAGATCTTACAGAAAATTCTGGTAAGTGAAGAAGTTGTCTCCAAAGTCCATAAGGAACTATGGAGCAGCTGAGGCAGGCAGCATGGCTCCTGTACACTCAGCTACACACCACAATGCCTTAACTGGGGCTGGGGGAACAAGTGCATGAGACCTTCTCTCTGAAAAGATCAACAATATATGTCACTCAAATTTAAAAATTTCCATATGTGCAAGAGAAGTCTTTTGTTGCCTTTTTTTTTTCATTGAAATTAAATTTTGAAATAGAATTGTGAATGGAAAGAGTTTCCACACCAAGGACCATGCAGAAATCTGCAGACATGAACTCAGCAAGGCATTCTCTGAACACTATTCCCTCCCAAGGATAAAACATCAGACTTAACAGCATACTTACCTATTTTATCAACTGTTTTCATTACTAGAATTTATGGCACCCAGATGCTTCCTTATCTTTCCTACATATGATGGATTCTTGTCTTCCTAATAATCATACAACAACAAACTTCTGACAATACACTTCTAATTTTTTTTTGTTTTGAAACAGCTTTTTAATATAGGCTATAGTTTTAATCTATCTGTATTCAAGAGAAAAATTTGTTTTCCAGATTCTAAATTTCCACCTTTTCTTGGAATGCTTTAACATGAGTTGAATACAGTCATTACAACATTATGATACTAACACATCTACAGATCCTTTTTGGACGTCAAAAGGCTCAAATATTCTCTGTACATCTAGGGAAAGCAGACTTTCAACTTTCTTTTCTTCTCTAAGACAATTTATAGCTGTTCAGAATTGTATTTTTTATAATGTAACGGAATATTTTTGATCAAAAAGGGAGCTCAGAATGTGTTGCTAACTTCTTAGTAGAACATGCATACACTTGTGCAATCAGACTCTGCAGAGTTCATTTTGAGTGTGACTACCCAGAACCATCTTTTGTCCTTTGGGCTCAGAAACAGAGCATTCATCAACCTATTAGGAGCCCAAAGCCATTCAATTCTTGAGCTGGTGAGGCTCTGCTGAGGGTAAACAAGTAACTCATAACTGCCAGCAGAGTGGCCGGGCAGCATCTTTCACTGCCTGCCCAGCTGCTCTGCAAGAGGATAAGAGTCCTTACTGGGAGAGTCTCTAGCTTTAATACAATAGCAGGTAATGGGCTCAGAAGGTCACTTTTGTTTTTCTTTTCCTGAGAAATGCAGGATTTGTGTTTTAGACAGGTGAGAAGTAATGTGTGTTTTTTGTGGTTTAAGAGGCAGTCCAATGTTTTTCATTTCCATTTACATACATCTTGTTGGCAGAGCCCTGTGTTAAACTCTTAGCCTGAAGCAGATTTCTAAAGCAAAGTCAAAATACAAAAGCTCTTAGTAAATTACATTTACAAAGGAAGTGTCAGTGCAGTATAAAATTATAATGGCAGGAGTAACTCCAGTATATTCTTAACGAGGCTCTTTAAAGTACTTAAACTGACAAAAAATAGTTGTAAAGAGACGCACAAAACCATCTTATTTCTGTTTAATCATAGAAAATTTTCCTTCCATTGACCTTTACACAAGAATAAATTTCAGTATCCAGCTCTGAAAACTACTTTAGCAGACAGACACTTACCTGTTGCAACGTGACGTCCCATTCCAAATATGGCATAAATAATGACAGGGAAAAAAGATCCATACAAACCAAAAACTGGATGGACTGAAGACAGAACAGCAAAGGCCAGCCCTACAGAAAATTAAAATTAAAAAATACTTCACTGTATGATGATAAAACTGTTCTGTTTGCTTTGTTGTTTTTTATTTTTATGAGGAAATGTCTACAATTTTATTAAGAGCAGGAAAAACTCACCTTCCTTTATTAAAATCTAGATTCTAAGTGAACTACTATACAATAAGGATCAGAAATAACTATGGAAGGTTTTTCATTTCATCATCCAAATCCATATATCCCACCATGTTTCCAAGTTGTCTCCATTAGTGGTTCCAAGCCTCTTTTAATAGCCAGGCCTCACAGGAGGAGGCAGCAATATTTCACCCCCACCCTCACAAACATGGGTTTGAGACTGCCAGGCGGTCTCCAGGCAGTGGGATGGTTATTTTTTACAAATATTCCAAAACCTGTAATTTTGGTTTGGATGGAGCCCCTTCAGTCTGCTTTCTTCTAATTTCTTAAACAAAAAACTATTCCAGAGTTCATCTTCTTTAGAGGGGTTTATAAGCCTTTAGACATTAACATTTCTTCCATCATGTAAAGCTGTCAGTTCAGAAACAGAAAGTATTTGACTTTCATGTTGAGATGGAGAATGAGCAGAATTGGTTCAGGTTTAACTTTACAGACTTACTAATTACCTTCATTGCTTAGCTACAGAGGACAACATCCATCCTTTTCTTAGAAAGTCGTGGACAGGAATTCATCTTTCAACAGAAACATTCCTGCAAAGCAGCAGATTTGGTTGCTTTTCAAATTGAGATACCTAAGATAGCAAGTGGCTATCTTGCATTGGCTTCCTGCAAGTCATCAGAGGACTCCCCAGACTTGCTCCAGATCAGCAGGCTCCACGGCCTTGTCACAGCTCTTACTTCTGGAAACTAAGAGCAGGAGAAGCTGGCTTGCACAGCTGCTCCATAAATTTTGGTGAATGCCTCATGATGCAGTCTGGAAGAAAGGACTGGCTGTGTAACACACAAGATGCCTCTCTCAAGTCCACCTTCAACCTGAGTGCGCTCACCAGCCTAGGGCAGAGGTGTGCGCACTGGGAGAAGGAGCACCTGTGGTCTGTGAGAGAGGAGATTCAGATCTGTGCAATGGAGCTGCCTTCTGTGTCCATGTGAAATCCTTGAAGAAAACTAAACCTGTAGGATTCATTGTTCTCACTGAGCTTTCCTAACTGCTCCAGAAAGCATTCTTTGCCTGAAATGTTGGTGTTATGGGGCTTTGATAGTATGGAGAGTGCCAAAAAGTGTCTTTGTTTATGGGTTTTGAGAGGCAATTCTGAACATTTATATTCAAAATCTCCTTCTCACATTTTCATTTGAGTCTGTAACAAAGCACACATGGTGGTGGGGGGGAGGCAAGAAAATACAAAAAGGTCAGAAGTGTCAGGTTCTCAGTGAAGCAGTTCCTCTGTTCTTAGAATAACCTCACAGTGAAGATTTTGCTGAGGTGAATCCTACATGGATCATTTTCATCCACATTGTGCTCAGCAAAGTATCACTATCTGTTATGACTTGGGGAAGAGATATTTTTAAATCTGTTTAGTTTTAAACTTCTTTTAAGCAGAAATTGACTTGGTTGCTCTTCAGCCTTATGATGAGTGCATCTACTGATAGTCACTTCTGTATTTTTCTCTTAGCACAGCAGTATTATAAACCAGAAAGCTCTTTGAAATTGTAGTGTAATGTCCATGTTCACATGATCAATAGAGGTAAAAGAAGATTCTGAACCAAGAGCAACACAGAAGGGTGTGCCTGAGGAGAATAAAAACAGCACAGGAGAGAACTATGTGACCCAATCCAGATAAAATTGAGCGGGGGCGGGGGGGGGGGGGGGAATAGAGAATAGGAGAAAGGAATTTTAAACCTTGTTTAACACTGGAAAATTCTTACATTTTAACCATTTTGAATATGAACAAAACCAAACAGAAAGAGAAAATTTGGAATTAATTTACTAGTTGAATACTACTCACACACATATTCCAGACTTGCAACAAAGCATTATGCTAGCCTAATTATTTGACTCCAAAAAGTGAAGGAATCAGAAAAATCAGTATAATTTCAGTCTCATTTTAATTATAACAACATAATTGAAATGGAGTGACCTGTCTGTGTACTTGCCAAGTATAAGGGAATACACAAGGTTCAGTACTTAATGCTGAGCCAGACATGTACTTTGGAAGGTTTTAGGGAAGAGCCTGTTGATCCTGGTTATAGTTATAAATCCAGATTATCTGATGCTGATAAATATCACTTGTTTACAGGCAGATAATCTGAGTTTAAATTTGGCCCTCGTTTTTCTCCATTTCATGCCTGGATTTTTCACATTTTGTATTGAGTTTCTAGAAGCAATTTGTCATTCTTTTTCATGGTAAGGTTGTGGCAATCAGGCCAGAGCTGAAACTACCAGCCTTTGATTTGAGTCCTGGCTCTGTTTGTTAGGTTTTTACTCCCATTACTGAAGCATGTGTTGCACTTACTGAAGTATGTAAGAGCAGAGGGGCATTATAAAATAGAATCAGTAAAGACTTCAGGTTTTCTTATTAGGCATAAAATGCCTTAAAGATTCAAATACTTTTCAAGGTGTAATCAGTAGTATATTTAAGCTTATTTCGTTAATTTTCATATTAAACTTCACTGCAATGCATTCTGTTTGCTCAAGAACTTTCCCGTCAAAAGACAAGAAACATTATTTTCTTTTTTTTTTATTCCATAGAGTAATACTTAAAGAAAATAGATCATAAAGTAAGGATCTCCCATAATCTTCAATGGCAATATGGAGAAGCCCCCATGGCAGTGACATTAAGGTTTTCATATTACAATATAAATTCCATGAAAAGAAATGCAAACAAATATTGAGCAGTATGTTTGGATACAGTACATTAATATTGCTTGTTTTAACTACCTCCTTATCATAAGATAACATTGTGGGACACACTTTCACTGAAAACCATGACCTGTGACTAGCACCAGGTGCTTTCCAGTCCTCTGGCACACCAGGCTGAAAAGCAAGGGATCTTTAACACTTGGTGTCGATGCAAGCAACTGCAAAATAACAAACTCGATACAAAGAAAAACAAGGCCATCTCCTGCCCCAGGAGAAAGGCCTCAGTTTGAGTTGTAAGTTTCTGCTAATTAGATTAGTGCCAAAACTACAGCAATAAAACAATATTTTCCATAAGAAGAACTATGAATCACCAGAGTATAGTCAACTAGTTAACAGTTCTCTGCATCTGGAAATATGCTCATGATACGTACATCTGTTCTGAGGAAAACTCTACCACATCTTTTGGAAATAGTAGGTGCAAACCAGAAATTAAATTAGAAGCAGGAAAAGTATTAAGCCAATAATTAATTTGAGGAGTATCAACATGAGTATAATTTAATATTTACTGTAAAAAGCTATATATATTTTAAAAGTTTTTCTGATAGAGTGTGTATTCAAATAACTTTCTGTAATTGTGACCTTTTACTCTTAAGTGTGACTATTCTAAGACGGTCAGAGCCCCGGTTTATGGCACCCTAAATGTCACTAATTCATCTTATCCCCCTCAAAAATGCTATCTTCAGTTGTGGGCACTCTCTAATGCTTCAGAAAAATATAATTTCTCCATTTCTACTCCTTCTTCTCACAAAGCTCTATTATGTAGTAAGGAGGGTATTTTCTGAGGATATAGAACTGACACATGTTTAATCAGTCTCCTATCAATACTTCCTGGAGAACTAACAAATCAAACTAACCAATGACTCACATCCCAGGATTTAATTTCTAACTCCAGGATAGGTAACTTCTATTGAAGAAAAAACAAGAAAAGTTTTTTCCACTATTGGAAAAAAAATAACATTATATTTCAGAAAAGTCTTCCTACACAAACCTGCTCGTTCTGGAGGGTTCTTTAACAATGGCATCATAAAAGCTCTTAACACAAAATGATCTTTTGGAAATCATTAACTTCCAAAAACTGGGCAGCTCAATGTCAGTTCTCTCAATGCACATTTACTGGGGCTGCACGAGTGGATCGTACCTTCTGTCTCCCTTATTTAGTGACAAAGTACCAAGAGCTTAAAATCATTCCTTGGTTCTTCTGTCATTCAAAGCCTGAGGCAAATGAAGAATGTAAAGAAAAAATGGAAGGACAGGCCCTCAAAAACGAACCATAAATCTTTCAGACACAATGTTGATTTGGCAACCCCACTCTTTTTGAAGGATCCTTCAGTGCAGCTCCTGCCCATGCAGCAGTCTCCTTCAGCCTGGTGAGAGTTTAGCACCTCAGCTGTGTTAGCCATAGTACCTGAATTCGCAGTATTTCACAGATTCTGAAATGCAGCTCTCCCAGTGTACCATCTGACAAGCACATCAAAGGTGGATTTGAGAAAACATTGTGTTATTCTGACACTTTACAGATCCCCAGATACTGACATTTGTATCTTAATGTTCAAAAGGAAAATATGCAAGCATTATGGTACAAGAAGTAAGGGGATGGCATGACCAGCTTATGATTTCACTGCTCAAGACAGCTTGACCCTTCTGTATGCAATAGATACATGCAAAACAGAGCATTTAAAAATTCCTAGTGTTTTCTTTTCTTTTAATAGAGCTCCTCAAAAAAATCTATCAGTCTTGACAGACAATCTGAAATGTTAAGATCCCTTTAGGATAAATTTGACACCATATCTGAACACCACAAAGATTTTATAAACTGCTTCATGGGGAGTCCTATTATCCACTAGTCAGCTGTAAAACCGGAAAAATTCGGCCACCTCCAGAAACAAAGAAGGATTTTGACAGTGGATTATAGGTAAAAATCTCTGTGTTTCAGTAAGAATAAACAGAGAATGAAGCCTTCAGAAGTTTCTGGCAAGCAGGTAACTATGAGGTAATCTTCTGAGAAGCATCAATTCTGTGGAGAAACAAAAACCTGTCATGAGTGATTTGAGGCCTTAATCCCGAAGAGCTGGACTTGCTGAAATCCATGAAAAGGGCATCCATTTTGGCAAATCAGTGGCCAAGGA